TTTGTGTTATTACCTTTTATTGTACTGTGTTCATTTCAACTTTGTAATTTTGGAAATTTTGGATTTATGTGATTTTTGTGGTTCGTCAATCAAACAGAAAATTTTCATTATTATTCAAACTTTTCTCAAATTGTGTACAACAGAAAATAAAATAATTTTTGTTATTTAAAATAAATACCTACATTTGGCGATCCTGCCAGGAGGAATATAAGAAATTACATTAAACTGATATATTGATTTTGTACACTTGGTTTGTTGTTTCGCGGTACTAGTCCACAGATGATGAGATGTTACACCAAAATGGTGAAGTGCAATGCGTCGCAATAGTCAGCAGTGAAAAAGAGTAGCACCATTGCGAGCAGCTGGCATATTCCAACACGTACTACTATCACCACCGTTATCACCACAACTTGAATCACAGCAGCCGCAACATCAGAAAGCAATATCCCCATTGCCTTTTGTTGAAGATCAGCAATCACAATTAGTAGAGCAACAACAGCAACAGCTTCAAACGCACCAATGCGCATTCAACGACACTAGCACAATTGCCGATATCATTGATGCATCTGCATTAGAAGCAGTCACTGGAAAAGCTATTTTAAGTGCTGATATTGCATCAACCAGTCAACAACAACCACATAACCAGCAGCAGCAGCGTTCTCAAAATCAAGAACAGCAACCGGAAAGTTTGAGCGGTGCTCAATGCTCCTCTTTGAGCGTAATAGGAGAAGTTCCAGCTGGTAGTAGCGCATTAACAGAACGAAACAAAAACATCTCCAACATCACTGCCATTGCTGCTGCAGGAGGAAGAAGACGAAGAAGCGGACACAGGCAACAACAAAAGCAACAATTCAAAAATTTTAAAAATTGCAAGTAAAATATATTAAATATAAGATATTTATTAAATACATTTTAACATATCTATATATATATACATATATATATATACAAATTTATATTTGACTGTGCTGTTCATTAAGCAGCATATTAACCATTTTAGATGTTTGATAATTATTTTGACTATAATTTAGTACAATTTTAATATATTATTATTAAAGTTTTGTTTGTCAACTAAACTGTGAACACCCCTTCTAGAAATTTTTATAACGTTAAAATTGTGTACACTATGTTTCACTCACCACAACATGGCGCGCACACAACTACACGTACAAATAATTTAAATGACTCGCTTATAGATTTGCAAAACAACTCTTTTCAAGAGGAGTTGGCAAATCCTTATGCTAGTCAAAATAATAATTAGGTGTATGCAACCTCAGTCAAGCTTCCACAATTTTGGACAAGTTGTCCAGAAGCTTGGTTTGTACATACAGAAATGCAATTTAACATGAAAAACATTACACAAGATACTACAAAATATGAACACACAATCACAGCGCTTCCACAAGAAGTAATAGTTACAATATTAGATTTCATTCAAAATCCTCCGCATAACAACAAGTTTTCAGAATTAAAGAAAGTCTTAATTGAAAGACATTCTTTAAGCGAAAATAAGAAATTAGATAAAATTTTGTCAGATTCAGAGATGGGTGATCGTAAACCCTCTGAATTTTATCGGTCGCTCATGTTACTTGCAGGTTCCAATTTTAGTCAAGATATTTTAAAGAAACTTTGGCTGAGAAAACTGCCAAAAAATCTTAGTGTGATATTAGTTAGTTCAAGTACCAATGATATAAATGAATTGGTGAAACTAGCTGATAATATTTGGGAAGTGATTAATAAAACCGAAATATCAGCTATGAATAGTTTTCAAAATTCTAAATCACAAGACACAATTATTGAGAATTTAGTTAAATCGACGAATCTTATGTGCGAAAATTTTCAAAAACTTTCCTTTGAATTAAATTCTATTAAGCAACAAATTAGTCAAAATTCTAGATATAGATCATATAATAGGAATTGTTTTAGAAGTCCATATAGAGGTAGATCAAAATCTCGTGATAGTCAAAATTGGTTATGTAGATACCATTACAAATTTGGTGATAAGGCTCAGAAATGTCAACAGCCTTGTGCTTTTTCTAAAAACAAAAATTCGTTAAACTAGAGTCATCCGTTGTTGTGGCGGCAAACAATGGAAATTTAGATATTACTACACGTCGCCTATTTATTTTTGATAAAGCAAACAAACTAAATTTTTTGATTGATAGTGGAGCAGAAATTTCTATACTTCCGGTAAAAAAATTCCCTCATACAAAACGTTCTTCAGATATAATACTTACTGCAGCCAATGGTTCAACGATTTCAACGTATGGTAAAAAGATTTTAAATATAAATTTAGGTTTAAGACGCGAGTTCCCATTTACGTTTCTCATAGCTGATATTGCGAAACCTATTATTGGTGCAGATTTTCTTTGCAAATACGGTCTCTTAATTGACATGAAATGCAAACGTTTAGTTGATCCAGTAACAAGTCTTTCGGTTAACACAGTTTCATGTGTTTGTAACATTTCGCTTCCAAAAATTTTTGTAGTAGAGAACAAGTATACAAGATTGTTGAAGGAGTTTCCTTCTTTGATTGCTGAACCAGATTATTCGAAACCGGTTAAACATTCTACGGTTCACAGACTTTTTACTGAAGGAAATCTGCCATTCTCTAAGCCAAGGCGCTTGGATCCGATTAAATTTAAAGTAGCCAAAACTGAATTAGATTTTTTAGTGAGGACAGGGATTTGTAGACCTTCAAATTCTTGTGTAGCATCTCCACTGCATCTTGTATCTAAAAAAGAACTAAATGACTGGCGTCCTTGTGGTGATTTTCGGAGACTTAATGTTGTGACTGTACCGGACCGTTATCCTTTACCTCATATTCAAGATTTTAACATGAATCTCAGAAATAAGTATATATTTTCGAAATTAGATTTGGTAAGGGCCTACCACCAAATTCCAATGGCAGAAGAGGATATCTATAAAACTGCAATAACGACACCTTTCGGTATGTTTGAATTTATACGAATGCCTTTCGGACTAAGAAATTCAGCGCAAACTTTTCAAAGATTTATTAATGAAGTAGTTAGTGGTTTAGATTTTGTTTTTACATATATTGATGATCTATTGGTTGCAAGTGAAAATGAAGAACAGCATTTTAAAGATCTCCGTATACTTTTCCAACGCCTAACAGAGTACGGGTTAAATATCAAACCAAGTAAATGTACTACTACAGATCAGGGTACTCAGTTTATGTCAAAATTGTTTTCGGAACTAACAAAATTGCTTGGTAGTCATCATTTTACAACTTCTGCATATCATCCTCAAGGGAATGGTATGGTAGAACGGTTTCACAGGCAGTTAAAAGCTACGATAATGGCTAGAAATGGAATCAACAATTGGTATGATGAGCTGCCGATAATACTTCTTGGTTTACGATCGATGTATAAAGAAAGTATTTCAGCCACATCATCTGAGATGGTTTTTGGACAAAATTTACGCCTACCCGGTGAACTTGTTGTTCCATCTGAAGAAAAATTTTCCCCAATTGAAGTTTTAGGTAATTTACGGGAACATTTTAAAAATGTTAAATCAAATTTAAGGCATAATCAAAATTCTGATACTGGTGTATATATACAAAAGGATTCGGATACTTGTAAATTTGTTTTTATGCGTGTTATTAATAAAAGATCATTGCAACAACCATACGAAGGACCTTATAAGGTTGTTGAAAAAAAACAAAAAATATTTCAAACTTGAAGTAGATAATGAGGTTAAAACAATTCCAATAGACAGACTAAAACCGGCAGTCATTGAAACAGAACTAATACCAGAAACAAACACTAATACAATGAATAACACAACATCAAATAAGAAACGAGTTACTTTTAATTTATATAACATTAATTCTCTAGAAGGGGGAGTATTGTAGGGTTTGTATTTGTGTTATTACCTTTTATTGTACTGTGTTCATTTCAACTTTGTAATTTTGGAAATTTTGGATTTATGTGATTTTTGTGGTTCGTCAATCAAACAGAAAATTTTCATTATTATTCAAACTTTTCTCAAATTGTGTACAACAGAAAATAAAATAATTTTTGTTATTTAAAATAAATACCTACAGCTACTTACGTACCAAATTTTAAGCAAATCGGACCATAATAAGATTGTTTCGAATAGATCGGTCCCTCGTCCCCTTCTCGGAAAAAATGAATCATATATGCTAAAATGCTACTTACGTACCAAATTTTAAGCAAATCGGACTATAATAAGATTGTTTCGAATAGATCGGTCCCTGGTCCACTTCTCGGAAAAAATGGATCATATATGCTAATATATGCTAAAAAGCTACCTACGTACCGAATTTTAAGCAAATGGGACCGTAAATACGAATAGATCGGTCCCTGGTCCACTTCTCGGAAAAAATGGATCATATATGTTAAAAAGCTACTTACGTACCAAATTTAAGCAAATCGGACCATAAATGCGACTTTTTCGAATAGATCGGTCCCTGGTCCACTTCTCGGAAAAAAAGGATCATATATGCTAAAAAGCTACCTGCGTACTGAATTTTAAGCAAATCGGACCGTAAATACGATTTTTTCGAACAGATCAGTCCCTGGACCACTTCCCGAAAAAAATTGATCATATATGCTAATATATGCTAAAAAGCTACTTACGTACCAAATTTTAAGCAAATCGAACCATAATAAAATTTTTTCGAATAGAACGGTCCCTGGTCGACAAAAGTTAATTTTTTTAACCTAAAACATGGTGGTTACCGAAAGCTATTTATATACAAAATTTCATGAAAATCGGACCAGCCTTTCACGAGATTAACTGTTACAAATAAAAGGGACTTCGCTTTATATAATTAGTATAGATAAGTGCCTATTCGTTAGCACCCGACCAGAAACTGATTGGTCAGCATGTTCCTTTGTCTTTGCCATAAGATCTGCCGAGAGGCTATCTTTGGCGTGGCCCTATACTACTGTTTAACTATCAGTTATCATTACTTTCGGATCACATCTCATACTGAAAAGGTTTACTCGACTTACCGGATCATCAAAAATTTCTTCAACGCGTGTGTGGACGTCCTTATTATTTTTGTTTCGAATTAATATATATATGTTTTCGATGCCAGGGCATGAGGTGAATAATTTATTAAGTAAAACTAAAAGCATTCAAATTACTAACAATTAATATATAAAAACATACAATGTTAACATCTTACATCAGAAAAAACGACTTACTTTTGCCTAGAAAACCTGTTCCACCCGTTATTAATATATTCGCTCCTTCGTAGAAGTGCTGAAGTGGAGTTACCTTTTGCTCCAGCATTAACTCATATAGGCGCATGTTAGCCTTTTGAATTATAATGTACAATCACAAGAAGTCACGGCGATGCCTTTAAATAAGTTACCTAGAAATAGAAAAAGAGTTTATTCGGAGTAACAGAGATCTAATCTTAGCTAAATTTTAATTGTAACTTAAACTTCCTTGGTTGCCATTAAGGATGCACCGGATTGTAGTAAACATGTGATAGCCAGTATCAATCAGGGCCTTCCTGACCTCTCTTCCAAATTATCTAATCAGACTTATTTATGTAAAATGGCCATAGTGATATGTATTGCAGACAATAGAGCTGTGTATGGATTGGCCAGGAAAATCATCCTCGAATTAATCTCACCGAGAAAAGAAGCCCTCTCTTGCGCCCGAAAATCCGCTCCTCTAAATTCTGGAGGGGGTTTGAAAGGACTCTATCCGTTTAGTATTTACACGGTGAGACTGACAGCCCAATTGTAAATAATAGTTTCGTTCGAGTTTTCTCACTTTCCGCCACCCTACACGTCACAAGAAAAAAGAATTTCGCGGGATTTTACACTTTCCTCTTTCAATCAATTTAAAACCACTCCGAAAGCAATGTTTAGGAACCTTCTTTTGGTACCCATGAACTGTAGTATTTTACCCTTTTTTCTAAACAAAAAATTAAATATATATGCGATTCAAAATAGGTGGCAACCTTACTGAAATATTTTTGAATTAGGGATCTTTAAAATACCTTCCTTTTGATACCCATATTATGATGTTTTAATTAATTTTTAACTAATTTCGAATAGGTGGTAACCTTGTACAAGTCTTCTCGGAGATAATGCCTATTCAGATAACTTTAAAATCCAAAACTTTATCTGTGCCCAAAATTTCACCAAATCGATAGAGCCGTTTCCGATAACCCTATGGATATATATATATATATATATGTATATACTTATACAAGAATTGCTCGTGTAATGTAATAAGATTTCAGAAATGCTTGAAACTTCAATATTTTGAAATTTAAGGACGCTAATTTACTCAAAATTGATACACCCCGGCTTACCATGTAGCGGTAGCTTTCGGAAAGGTGAAAAACATATATATAACATCTCTGAGCGTGGTTATTCTGATTTAATATTTATTTAAGTGAAGAGCATATTGTGGCGAATACTGCGGCATCACAAAGCGAACAACGAGAAATAGGCAGAATGTTCGAGGAATGACGAAGAATGTTCCACAAAGAGAAACGTCAAGCTGGAGGAACACTGCGAACAGCGAGAGAAAGAGAATGAGCGATGAACTTCAGAACATTCGAGAGTTGGCATGAGTACCAGCGCAGGTATATAAGAGCCACGACACAGCGGAGTTGGAGAGTTACAAGTCAGCAAGCTACAAGTAAAGTGAGTTGCGAATAAGCAAGCTATAAGTTCAATTGTTCTCATTTTCGTTGGTGGTGTTTCCGACAGGGTAGGAGTGTGATGTAATGTTTTGATTGATGTAGGTTCGCAATTTGCAAAAGTAATTACGTAGTTCGCTTCTGAATTTCTTTGGTGAATTACCCCGTTTACACGACTCATTCCTAATTCGATTTGAAAATTCACTGTGTTTTTCCTTAATTTCCTCCATTTCTTTGTTTTGGTTGTTTATATTCTCTCTTGCTCTGACAGGTGTTCGATAAATTTCTGATTAAAATTAGAGACGGCAGCGATTTGTTCGTAATTCGCATGGTAATTGAATCTGAATTAGCCATTATTTGTAGGAGCCATGCGCACCTACCAAACGAAAGCACTGGAATCATCACACAAATACTGTAGTGCTGAAGTGCTTTGTGTCTCAGCAACTTGGCGAGCAAGGGAAGCCGGGACCTTCATGAGCTCTTGATAGTTTTAAAACCAATCTGTGAGAATCCCTCGTTAAACTCACAGACAAAATGTTACCGAAGTTATCCTTCCAGTAGCCCTATAAGGTAATAGTTTCTAAATGGTACAAAGTATATACTTGCATTAAGAGCCCTTCACTCTTTCAAAACTACATCTAGGCTTATGGACAACGGCAAAACTCTACTCTTCTATTATTCGAAATTTTGGTCGTTCTGAGAGAGAATTAAACTCAATAAAGATATGTTCCAACTCATTTTCGTTGTTGGTGTTTCCGACAGTGTAGGATTACGGCAATCGATCTGTCCCCAAACCAACTTTGACAAGGGATTACGGAAAATCATTCCACAATATTCGTATGTTCCAGCGTTATAAACAAATTCAAAGAACACTCGGAAAATTGGTTTATTAGCTATATGAGTAATGTATTTTGTAAAATATTTAAATAATTAAATCTATAGCTTATGCCTATTTTAGTACATTTTTTGCATTTTGGTACACAAAAAAAATGAGGAAGTGGCAACCGTGCGTGTAACTCTTTCATTCTCTCCCATTGAAAAAAGTAATGACGACTCCCAAAAAACCAAACTCGCTGCAGCGAAAAAAGGGTATGAATTATCCGCACGAATTCAAATCTGAATAACTTGACTGATGTCATATTACGGAATACCCTGGCCTGATACACCGTGCAGATTGGAACCAGGAGTTGTTGGCGGCGGCGTGTGGGTGGTGATGCGGTTGTGTCTGTTGTGGTGTGGTCTACTGTGTTGTGTTGTGATGCTGTGCTGTTTGTGTTGAGCTGCTCAGGCGGACTGGGGTTTGCTGTGGAGACAGCTCTGTTTGAGCAGCAGAGGGCCACAAACGATGTGGTCCACTGCCGATGAGTCCGTAGGCAGTGATCGGACTTCTACCACATTGTGGTAGATCTGCCACTTTTTTGAGCAGAAGATAACTATAGCATACAAATCGAGTTGCACTCTGTCCTCGGTATTCACGAAAACGAAAAGCCCCATCGAGCCACAATAACAAAGCAACGTAGTATACGAGATTAAATGCAAAGGTAATCAAAACGAGGACTCATCAGAGCACGATGCGGACATAAGGAAAAGGAAAAACAATACAGCACTAGCACAACATGTAATAACGAGCGGTCACACAGCTTATCTAGTTAACACAAAGATACTTGACATAGAAAAGAGAGAAATAATTATTAGCCTATATATTTGTAAATGTAAGTTTTGTTAGTTTTTGTTTGTTGTTGTCTTTGATCATCACATAAATGTAGGTTTGTATAGTAACCAATAGTCAGTACTAATTTGTACTGGAACCTGCAAATTTTTACTGGAAAAGTGTATGATAACCCAAAAAATTAGTGCTCTCTTACTGAATCGAGAGCGTAACAACACGGGAGAGCTGCAAATTCTTGCTAGTGAAATTTCTACTAGCAGAAATTAGCTGGCAGAAGAAGAAGAAGAATAAGTGTCAAAAGCCGCCATTTGTTGAATTGGTTTAGCACAAACAAAAGTAAAATGAGTGGAAATCAAATTGTATAGTAATGATGTAAACAAAGCCGAATGGGAGGATAGAATATACTGTATTGTGGCGAATACTGCGGCAACGCGATGCGAACTACGAGAAATAGGCAGAATGTTCAAGGAATGACGTAGAATGTTCCACAAAGAGAAACGTCAAGTTGGATGAACACTGCGAACAGAACGTTCTACAGTTGCCATAAGTGCGAGCGCAGCGAAGTTAGGTTAGTTACGAGTTACAAGTGAGCTACAAGTAAAGTGAGCAGAGAAGTGAGTTGCGAATAAGCAAGCTATAAGTTTAATTGTGTCAACCAGTTTAGTAAAATGTTGTTATTGCTTTAACAAGTATTGTAAAGCGTTTTTACTGTATTAGCGAGTATTGTAAATTGTTTGTTGTACAATAAAGTTAATTGTACTACAATTTGGTCAACGTGAGCATTTATTTAACAATCCAGAGATACGAGCCCGAGTATATTTGGGAAATCCCTCAAAGCTTCGAGGATAATCGTAACAGTATAATAGCAAATTTTCTCAATAATAAATTTTTCGACAGGAAACGTGGTTTCATTATGTTAAATTTTAAAATATATTTTTTATAAAAAGAATTAATAGGGGAACTTTAAAAAAACGTCGATTTTTGTGAAAGTATTAGCAAATTTCAGTGCACCTAAAGTTTCTGAGGCGTTGTTTACATTTACTTGAGAATTGTCAAAATCGGAAAATCCCAAGCAGCGGTTTCTGTAACGTGCTACATTTGATCGCTACATCGGGATGTGATAAAAAGAAACGCTGGCAGCACTCCGCAAGGTTGCAAACAAATGTATGTTCGAAAAATATCTTGATATGGAAGGAACCGCTTTACACTGTCAAGGAAAAAAATTTCCAAAACTCAACGCAATTTTTAGAGTCTAATTAAAAAGTTTGCCATTTAGGTGAAACCTTACAGAATTTCTTTAATTTTTGTACAAAGTTTGATCCAAAACTTGAGATCTACCACATTTTTTTGAAATCTACCGCATTTTTTTCCATATTCTACCACACAGAATTTTTTTAAGTCCGATCACTGTCTAAGGTGATTCCACACATTGCAAGTGTTTACGGTTGCCAGACAACTGATTTAATCAGTACGGTACTTATTTTTCATTTCTTGTACTGATTTTATTAATTCCTTCAATCAGTACGCTAATGTCCTGATTTTTCAAAATTTTTATTGATTTGTACTGAATTTTCAATTCAAACAAAATACTTTAAGATTTTCTTAAGGTTTTTACATAACGTTGGAACTTCCTTAAACTGTACTGTAAAAAGTAAGAAGAAAATAATTTAATTATAGTTGACATGTTTCAGATAATGTTTGATATACCCAAGAAATTAATACCACAAAAAGATCAATCGTTTTATGAGCACATCGCCGAGGCGTTACGTACCAGTTGCGTTAATATGATGGAGCTTAAATTAGTTAAAAATAAGGCTGACGCTTTTTTGTCGAGTGTTGTTCATTAACGCGTAAATAACTTTCAGTTTAATAACAACAAACTTGAATATTCGAATGTCTTTCGCCTATAACTTACAATTCTTTTTTCACAATTTATTGACATTGCAAAAGAGTTTTTCATAAAAGACATAGAGTTAGATATTCTTTTTAGCGAATTCTTAGTCTTGCAAAGTTTTTGCGTAGTTGGAAAAATTAATTTAAG